CCCTCACACATGTGGTCGGATGATCTTTGACACGGGTGCCAAGACCACACAATGAAGAAAGGACAGTGTTTTCCATAAATGGTGCTGAGGAACTTGGATATCGACCTACAAAAGAATGAAGCAAGACCCTTACCTCACACCAAATATAAACATTAACTCGACATGAATGGAAGACCTACACAGGCCCTAAAACTATAAAGCTCCCAGAAGAAAACAGAGGGGAAAGCTTTACGACATTGCATTTGGTAATACTTTCTCAGAGATGGCACCAAAAGCATAGGCAATAAAAGCAAAAATATACAACATGGGACAACATCAAACAATAACTGGGCATCAAAGGAAACAACAGAGTGAAAAGGCAACATACAGAATGGAAGAAAATATTTGCAAATCATATATCTGATAACGGGTTAATATCCAGACTATATAAAGAAACCCCACAACTCAGTGACAAAAGCAACCCATCCCGATGAAAAAAATGGGCAAAGGACTTGAATATACAGGTTTCCAAAGAAGATACACAAATGGTCAATGAGCTTATGGAAAGATGCTCAACATCATCAATCGCTAGACAAATCCAAATAGAAACTATGATATCCTACTTCGTGGCTACGAGGACGGCCACTATTGAAAAAGAAGAAAAACACACCAAAGAACACAGTCACAAGAGCTGGCACGGATGTGGAAAAATGGGAGCCCTCATGCCCTGCTGGTGGAACGTACGATGGGGCAGTCACGTTGGGAAACAGTATGGAGGTTACTAAAAAAATTAAATCCCTACTGGGGATGGAGCCTGCAACCCAGGCATGCTCCGTGACCTTGGCCAGGAATCGAACCGTGACCTCCAGATTCATAGGTCGATGCTCAACCACTAAGCCAGGCCGGCTGGGCTCACTGTAATTCATTTAAATGCCAATGGCTGTGTGGCACCAGCTGCGCCATCCTGGAGAGCCCAGCATGGGTGGTATTTGGCCTGGCAGCGGAGAAGGTCCTGGGAAAGGAGATGAACAGGAAGGAAGAGGCCGAGTCTGAGCCAAAACCTAGAGATGGTGAGAGGACCCACCATGGGGGGCCGAGGGGGTTAGAGACGTGGCAGGGGCAAGAGACAGGAGATGCTCCAGGGAGGAGCATCTGTCAAGTGCTGCTGGCAAGCCACCGAAGGTACCTCCTCAGCCTGACCTCTGAGCTTGGCGACTCAGAGGAACTATTTTCCACCTCAAAGGGCCGGCTTCCTCCTCCGCTGCTGGAAGGTTACCTGAGCTGGCTTCCCTCCTCCCGCAAGCGCCTCACTCACCGGGACACAGGCCATCCCTCGCTGCCTCCTCCGCCCTCCAGGGCTCCTCGCCTTGCTCCAGGAAGGCAATCACATCAGGCTTGGAAATGGCGAGATCTGGACGTGAGAAAAGACACGACGCCCGGTGATGGTGCGGCCCCAGAGCTCAGGCCCAGGACCTGGTCATCCAGGATGAGAGGCCATAGCAGGAAGGGACAGGGGACGACCTGACAGTCACCCGAGGCCTGGCGACAACGTAGCTTCAGCCCAGGGAGCTGCCCTTTAACCCCTCACACTGACAAGGCAGGAACTCCTCCACCCACGGGTACCCTCCGACCTACCGGACGAGGCGCCCTTACCCAGCGAGCGCAGGTGGCTGTAGGTCTCCAACATCACGTCCCTGTACAGATCCCTCTGAGCAGGCGCCAGCCGCTCCCATTCTTCCCGGGAGAAGACGACGGCCACATCCCTGAACAGGTCTGACCCCTGCAACAACGGGCAGAGCGAGCGCAGGTGAACCTCGCGGGAACCTCTCTCGGTGGGAGGAGAGGAGGTGGAGGGAGTCTTTGCAGGAAAAGGCTGCAGCTGGGGCCTCTGAAGTGAGCCGATGACGGGAGAACATGGGTGTGAGTTCAATGTTCTTTTTTTAAAAAAACAATTTTCTTTTTTGTGTTTTTAAAAAATATGTATTTTTATTGATTTCAGAGAGGAAGGGAGAGAGAGAGATAGAAACATCAATGATGAGAGAGAATCATGGATCAGCTGCCTCCTGCACGCCCCTACTGGGGATCAAGCCCGCAACCTGGGCATGTGCCCTTGACCAGAATGGAACCCAGAACCCTTCAGTCCAGGCCATGCTCTATCCACCGAGCCACACCAGAGAGGGCCTAATACGTTTGTTTTGTTTTTTTTTAAAGAATAGTTTTGAATCCTAACCGGTTTGCCTCAGTGGATCAAGTGTCGGCCTGTGGACTGAAGGGTCCCGGGTTCAATTCTAGTCAAGGGCATGTACCTTGGTTGCGGGCACCTCCCCAGTAGGGAGTGTGCAGGAGGCAGCTGAATCGATGTTTCTCTCTCATCGATGTTTCTAACTCTCTATTCCTCTCCCTTCCTCTCTATAAAAAATAACATATATTTTTAAAAGTTTTGATATTTAGAGAGAGAGGAAGGGAGAGGGAGTAAGAGATGTGTCAGTTGGCTTTCTCCTGCCCACCCCCTACTGGAGATCAAGCCTGCAACCCGGGCAAGTGCCCTTGACCGGAATGGAACCCAGGACCCTTCAGTTTGGAGGCTGACGCTCTACCTACTGAGCAACACCAGCCAGGGCTTAAATGTTCTTGGACATTCTTTTTTACACACTCACCAAAGCTCTGTTACACAGATACGGGGTGAAAATTAAAATCCAACTGCGTGGAGTGTTCCCAACGGTGACTTACTCTGAGCCTGGCACATACTAAATTCTCCAGGGGAGACCCAGAACTTCTACTTCGATGGAGTCAAAGAAAAATAAGCCCAAACCAAGAATTTTTTGCTAGAAGAGGGAACCGGGAGAGGACACAGGCTACCCAGTCTTTTCACTCCTGAGAACAGGAAGCTCTGAGCACCGGAGTCTCTGGGACGGAGCCCAGGTGCGAGGAAACGCTGGGACCAGGAAAGCGAGTGTTTATAAGGATCTAGAAACTCACCATGGACATTACGTCTGGAATGTCATGGGCTGAGGGGTCCTCCTCTCGGCGAAGGCCAGAGTCCTGAGGGGGCAGAGCTGGGGAAGGAAACAGCGAACACGAGAGACCAGGCTTGCCTGGCAGCTCCCAGGACACCATGGTTACAAGTCCCCATCCCGTTCACCTCCACCTCCCGACCAATCAGAGGGAGACGGGACAAACTGGGGCCCTCACCCAACTCCACGAGACGCCCAGCTTCCTGCGAGGACACAGGGACCCAGTGGCCTTTCTCTCCCGTTTCCCCGAAACAGCCCGAGAACGTCACTGGTGCAAATCCGAGATGGGGATGCTCAGACCTGGCCCAGTGACTAAGATCATGTGGCATCCCACAGACAAAGAAGCCTGACCTCAGGCCAGAGGAAGCCCAGAGAGCCGGCCTGATCCGGATCCGCCCAGCCAAGAATCAAGTCTTCCCTAAACCAGACCATCCGACTCTCATGCTCACAATGGAACACCTTCAGAAGTCTCGTGGGCACTTTCCCCAACTTCCAAGTTCACTAAGAGTCCACAGCCCTACTGAAGGCCCGGTGGACACCACTCCATGGGCCCTACCTTGAGTCCACAGATGGAGTGTGGGTCCGGGGGGTCAGTTAGATGAAGCAGATCCCATCCTCCATGATCAACACATACAGAGGCCGCTGCACAGACATCACAGCGTGAGAAGCTGTGTGCACACAAACAGCTGCTGGAAAACAGAACTGAAAATTAGCACAGAACAGGTCACAAGCAAGCAAGTGGTCGGGTCAATCTGGGCCCAGCCAGATGGTCGATGCCCACAGACAATTGTCGGGAGCGGCTCTAGGGTCAAGCCTGGGGCTGACCTGTGGCAGGGCCATGAACAAGTCCCAGCCAGGAGGGCAGAGCTCTCCAAGCATCGTGGTCGGCAAACTGCGGCTCGTGGGCCACATGCGGCTCTTTGGCCCCTTGAGTGTGGCTCTTCCTAAGCCTTAGGAGCACCCTAATTAAGTTAATAACAACATACCTACCTATATAGTTTAAGTTTAAAAAATTTGGCTCTCAAAAGAAATTTCCATCGTTGTACTGTTGATATTTGGCTCTGTGGACTAATGAGTTTGCCGACCACTGGCCTAGCATAACTAAGCCTGACCTTGTAGCCCTCCCTAATTCCTTCCTTCCAAACCTAAGTGATGCCAAGACAAGAACATTTGTATACATGTTAATCTGCCCTTGTTCTTTTTAATCAGACTGTAAAATAAAGCATCAGCTTGAAGGTTGGGCCTTTTGTGTCCTCATCCAGGCATGGGAGAGCCACCAAGCCCCAGCTGTATTCTCTTTGTCTTTTCTTCAATCCTTCACCGTCCCTCCTCAGACTCACCCTTGGCCGTGCTGGCCATGGCACAACAATGAATGACATCCACAAATGGACCCTTTGTACAACCTAAGAACATTCAGCAAAATAAGTCAAACCCACCCCCCTACGGACACATGGGGGGAGGGGGGGGTAAAAATCTTAAAAAGAGCCGAAACCGGTTTGGCTCAGTGGATAGAGCGTCGGCCTGCGGACTGAAAGGTCCCAGGTTCGATTCCGGTCGAGGGCATGTACCTGGGTTGTGGGCACATCCCCAGTGGGAGATGTGCAGGAGGCAGCTGATCAATGTTTCTCTCTCATCGATGTTTCTAACTCTCTATCCCTCTCCCTTCCTCTCTGTAAAAAATGAATAAAATATATTTTTAAAAAAATCTTAAAAAGAAATTGGAATAGAAGACATCCAAGTGTTAAGAGTGACCTCACTTAACTACTTCTTGAGCTGTTTATAAAGGAGTTTAGGACAGGGCCCGGCACATGACTAATATTTTTTTCTTCTTCACAAATATTTCATTGCAAGTAATGCGTAGATGAGATAATTATGAATGTTCCTGGGTATGGTGTAACGGGAATTTTTCCTTCCTCTGAGCACCGTTTTAGCATAATATGTCATATTTTATTGCATGAATGGCCCCGGATTTCCTCAACCCTTTCCCCACTGTTGGTCACAGATTTTGAACAAAATCATCTAAAATGTCCCCAAGGATTAAGTCTCTGCTTCTAAATCTTTTGGGGCCTTGCAACTCTTGGTGAATGTCATGGAACAAGATTTCAGCCTAGATTTAAAAAAAAAAGAAAAGGGCATGCGTCAGAATCCATGCAAAACACCCACAAGCAATTTCAGGGGGTGGGGATCCCTCCACACCCACCCTAGGGGTCTGGTGCCCCGGGTGATGAGCTGTGACGCAGAAAGGGAACGCCGGCCGGGGGAGCGTCGCGGGGGCCGATGGGAAATGTAGTCCAGAGCCCGGGAAGCCGCAGACCGATGCTGAGGCGAGACGCTCCGGTTCCCCCCAGGCCCAAGACCAGCCCGGCCGCGGCGCCCGCTCTCGCACGGGCCCCGGAGCGCGCGGGAAACTCCGGATCCCCTCACCTGCCGCCTTCTCGGGTCCGAGTGCCACCGAGACCGCGCCCCCTCGCGTCGTCCCAGGTGAGCTTTCTTGTCGGTACCGGCGAACTCGTCGCCTGGAGCCGGAAGATGGCGCAGACGCACAAAGCCGCGCCGATGCGGCGTAGCGATTGGGCCGGCGCCGCAGTGTATTCTGGGAAACGTAGTCTCCTGGCTGTAAAGATTGCCGCGCGCCGCGAGGCCCGGTCTCGCGATGCTTCGCAGTGGGCGGTACCCGTGTGCGCCCGTCGGGGGAACCCGACGGAGTGCGTTCTGCGGTGGGAGTTGCTGTGTGAGAGCCGGTGCGTGGAGCGTGCTGTGTGCGTGAGATCGCCTCTCTGATTGCGGGTGCGAGTGTGAGAGGGGCCGTGACCACGGGTACGGCGCTGCTTGTGATGGTGTACGTCGTGTTTGGTTCCGACCCGGCGGTTGATTGGGACCGTTCGACGGTTGTGTGTGACGAGTAAAAGAACGTTTGGGCGTTTCCGTGGGGCAGCCATGACCCCCCGAAGGGAGGGAGGAAAAAGGCCCAAGGAGTTTGTCTGATAACCGATTGTAAACATTGGATCTGTGTTGGAATAAATGTCGATCATGGGGATGCCAGATCGGCAGAAACGTTTTACACGAGACGTCGAGGAGTTTTCTGTTATGGGGTGACCTCTCGGCCGAGTCCCCTAACGCCCCCGGCAGCTCACGTCTGCGTGGAAGCGAGGGGAGGGAGCCCTGGATCTGCACATCCCGACCGGCGTGGTCCCTGTGGCCGGGTGTCCCCGGATCCTGGATGCTCTGGCCCCGTGATGCCTGGTCTCCCCCTGTGGCCGGGTGCCCCCGGGTCCTGGATGCTTCGGCCCCGTGATGCTTGGTCTCTCCCTGTGGCCGGGTGCTTCTGGGTCCTGGATGTGCATCAAGCCCCGTGATGCCTGGTCCCTCCCTGTGGCCGGGTGTCCCCTGGTCCTGGATGTGCATCAGGCCCCATGATGATGCCTGGTCCCTCCCAGGACCAGGTGGCGGCTTGTCCTGGAGCCACGCGCCGGGTCCCCCGTGGAAATAGACACGCTGTGGATGGTTATCTGGAGCCAGAAGGGGAAGTGCTCACGCAGCACCCGGGACCCGTGCAGATGCAGGACAAAGGACCCTCGCTCTGTCTGTCTGTCTGATGGTGGCAGCTTGAAGGGGAAAGACAGTGGGAAAAAGCACCAGGGGGGAGTCCCCGCTTCCAGCGCTGCGGTGTCACTGGCCAGAAGTTGCTCTAAACAAAAAACCAGGTAATGGGGTCCAGCCGCCCTGGCTCAGGGGTTGAGTGTCCACCTAGGAACCAGGAGGTCACGGGTTCGATTCCGCATCAGGGCACCTGCCCGGGTGGTGGGCTCCATCCCCACTGCGGGGCGTGCAGGAGGCCACCGATCCATGATTCCTTCATTGATGTTTCTGTCTTTCCTCTCCCTTTCTCTCTGACATCAATAAAAATGTATTTTTAAAAAACTATAATAATGTGTAAGGAACTAGTCTGTGCGGACGCTGGGCAGCGCTGATCCCCGAGAGGAGGGGAATGCAGAGCTGCAGTGGCTTTCTCTCGGGAGGCATATTCCAGACCTCAAGCCGCTGACACCAGCGACACAGTTTGGGGAGCCTGCGGTGCCAGGGATTGGGGGGCAGAGCGGGGACCAGGCCGGTGCCTGTGGCTGGAGGGCGCGCTGCCTCCGCGCTGGGCGGTGGGTGAACCTTCAGAGCAGAAGACGTGACGTCACAGAGGCCCCCTGGAAACAGCCATGAGGCTGACCTCTGGGCTGGGACCTG